GGAATCAAGAAAAGCCGAACTCAGAGCAACATAGAGTGGAGTGGTGGTTACCAGGGCCCGGAGTTGAAGGTAGCGGGGAGATATTGGTCAAAGGGGACAAACTTCTAGTTATAAGATTAACAGGTTCTGGGATCTAATGTATAGCATGGTGATTATAGCTAATAATGCTGTAGTATATACTTGAAAGTTGCTAAGAGAGTACATCTTAAATGTTCTTACCACAAAAAAAGAAGTGGAAATTCTGTGATGGGATGGAGGTTTTAGCTAACGCTATGGTGGTAATCATTTTGCAATACATGTGCATCAAATCAACACGTTGTACACCTTAAACTTATACAAACTTATATGTTAATTATATCTCAATAAAGCTGGGAACAAAAAGAATAATATAAGCTACTATGTTAATTGAGCTAGGGTTTTATTTATTTTGTGAGGGGATCAGCCCTGTGCTAATATCTGCCAATCTTCCTCTTTTTTTGCTGAGGAAGCCTGGCCCTGGGCTAACATCCCTGCCCATCTTCCTCCACTTTATGCGGGATGCCGCCACAGCATAGCCTGACAAGCGGTGCGTGCGTCAGCGCGCACCCGGGATCCAAACCGGCATCCGAACCGGCAAACCCCGGGCCACCACAGCAGAGCGCGCGCACTTAACCGCTTGCGCCACCGGGCCGGCCCTGAGCTAGGGTTTTAAAATAAGGTTATTTAGAATAAAATAAGGATTTAAAAAATACTTTAGCACAGCTTGACCAAAGACAGACTTGAATAATTAAGCACAAGGACGTCAGTAGTTGAATTTTAATATAAATTGTGGAACACTGTCCACCATATTTATTTTCTATGTGTGATCTTTCTCTTGGAAATAATTACACTATTTTAGTTTTCAAAAGAATACGGAAATTCCCATGTTTTAAAGAAGATTCTTTGTCCCATATGACTTGCTTAGTGTATAGTTTTACAAAATTCATAATTGTAGCAATAATCTTATATTGTGTGGTTTTTTTAAATTGTGGCAAATATGTATATAACATAAAATTTACCCTTTTAACCATTTTTAAGTGTACAGTTCTGTGGTGTTAAGCACATTCACATTGTTCTGCAGTCATCCTTCTCCCAACCTTTTTTGTCTTCCCAAACTGAAACTCTGGACCTATTAAACATGCCCTGGCAACCACCATTCTACTTTATGTCTCTATGAATTTGACTATTCTAGGTACTTCATATAAGTGGAATCATATGCCTTTTTTTTTTTCTTTTTTTGTGACTGGCTTATTTCACTTAGCATAATGTCTTCAGGGTTCATCCATGTTGTACCATGTGTCATAATTTCTATCCATTTAAGGCTGAATAATTTCCCGTTGTGTGTATATACCACATTGTGTTTATTCATTTATCTGTGAGTGGATACTTGGGTTGCTTCTACTTTTTGGCTATTGTGAATAATTCTGTGAACATGGGTGTACAAATATCTGTTCATGTCCCTGCCTTTACTTCCTTTGGGTATGTACTCAGAAGTGGAATTGCTGAATCATATGATAATTCTGTATTTAATTGTTTGAGCAACAGCTGTACCATTTTCCACAGTAGCTGTACCATTTTATCTTCCCACCAGTAATAGACAAGGATTCCAATTTCTTCACATCCTCAACAACAATTGTTATTTTCGTCCTTTTTTTTGATAATAGCCATCATAACGGTTGTGAAGTTGCATCTCATTGTGGTATTGATATGCATTTCCCTAATGATTAGTGATGTTGAACATCTATATTGTGTTTTTAAATACATCAGTAAATTGATAAAATTTTTCTTTTGAGAATAATACCTTATAAGTATTATTGAATACCTATATGCTGTTTGCATTTTTTGGGCAATGATAATTGAAGCAGGTTTGAGAAACAAATTGTTTGAATTAATTCGTGAGTTGCCCAGGGTTCTATGCTAACAAGTGATAGAACTAGGATTCAAATTCAGGTCTTCCTGGGCCTTTAAAGAAATCATGTCATGGGTTAGCATATTCACTAAACTGACATTATTAGAGATTAGTCTTTATCTTTTGCCTATTGTCATGTCATATCTGTTAAGAGAGGCAGTAGGACACACTAAATCATAAATGTGTTAATAATTAAAAAACTATTTTGAAATCCATGTACATTATATCAAAATTCAAAGAGTTCCAAAGAATACTTCCTAGTATGAGTGATAAGGAAATTGTATATGGTCACTTCTCCTCAGCTTTCTCTATTCCTTTCCCTTTATCAGCTAATTTTACTTGGTAATACTATTAATTTTAGTGGCCGTGTTTATATTTTAAATAATATCCGTATACCTCTATTATTTTATTTATCTACTTTAAGTAATATCTGTATATCCTATACCATGAAGGATGAGAAAATCAAAGTGGATATACAGCCTCCCATATTTTCACACTTTCTCCTACCTCTTGTTACTTATGTTGTTATATTTACTCTGGTGTGATGTGTATCATTTACATCCTATGTAATCCCATTATTACAATTGTTTTAACATTTGTCCTACATTTAAATGGTATCAGTGCTTATTCCTAGCTTTTACACAGTGTCTGTATTTATCTGTTAGTTAGTGGAAGGTTATCTATCTATCTAGTGATGCCAAGAAAGGATTATTGGAACTATATTACCCTAGTTCTTGGATGTTTGAAAACATCTGTGGATTCCCATTACACTTGGATAATAATTTGGCTAGATAGAAAATTATTGGGTGACACTTTCAATTCCTCAGGGTTTTGTATGCTTCATTTTGAATTATGCTTTGGAGAAATCTGAAGCCAGCCTGATTGTTTTCTGTTATTATTTACTTGGTTTTATTTATTTATTTATCTTTTATTTATTTTTTGGTGAGGAAGATTGGCCCTGAGCTAACATCTGTTGCCAATCTTCCTCTTTTTGCTTGAGGAAGATTGTTCCTGAGCTAACATCTGTTGCCAATCTTCCTCTTTTTGCTTGAGGAAGATTGTTCCTGAGCTAACATCTGTGCCAATCTTCTGCTATTTTATATGTGGGATGCTGCCATAGCATGGCTTGATAAGTGGTGTGTAGGTCGGCTCCTGGGATCCGAACCTGCGAACCCCAGGCCACTGAAGCAGAGTGTGCAAACTTAACCACTATGCCACTGAGCTGGCCCCAGTTTTATTTTTATTTTATTCTCTTCCCTCTAAGTTTTAGTAAATTCTTACTAAAATTTAGTAACTTTGCTAGGCTGTGTGTAGGTCTTGATTGGTCTGTTTCAGATTTTCCTAGAATATGTGTTCTTCTAATTGATGTATGTAGGACTTTTATTTTTGAAAATTTTCTTGAATTATATGTTTTAATAATTTTATTCTATTTCATTTGTTTTTTAAAAAATCTTACTTGGGCCACCAATTATGCATATTTTGGATCTCCTTTGTCTAAATATCTTCTGTATCTGGCATTTTCACTTTGATCATTTTAAACTCTTCATTCTTTCCATTTTGTTTTTATCCATATTTTCAAGCCTGCTTGTGCTATCAGCAGCATCTGTTCTTTTTGCTGCTATTTATGTCTTGCTGTTTTATCATTTTCTCCATGAGCCTTTGTAGCTCAGCTTTGAGCCTTTGATTAATAAATACCATTTTTGAATCTATAGGAATGTGGTCATGAGTTTCATTTGCTTCATATATATAATTTCTGATGTGTATTTTTCATTTAACTTTTGTTTTTTATATTTCTTTCTACTATGTGTGTGTATGTATGTTGTGTATGTGTAGGTGTTTTTAATATGCTTTTGTGCTGATACCTTTTTGATTATTACTTATCTTTTGATGAGGAGAATTCTTTTTGGACTGGTTATTTGCAGAAGGACAGTAAAAGTGAGGGTCTGAGTTTTCCAGTTAGTTATGAAGTCTTCCTTACCCACAGTTAAGTGTTAGAGATATGAGTTATGTGTCTGAGTGTTTATGTGTGTATGTTGGTAGGGAGTTTTTTGGCTCTTAACTTCAACTGACAAAGACTGACAGTTCTAGGGTTATCCAACAGCTTCAGTTTCTCTTCTATCCTGTAACAAGGTAGAATATTTTTTTAAAGATGGCATGTCTGTGTTTTCTTTAATCCTGGATCCCCTGACCCTCCATGGTATCGAATTGAATTTAGGGAGACTTTCACAGCCAGCCAATATACACTCAACTCTTTTGGGGGCCACAGGATTATGACTTTGCCCCTCAGGATTTGTTTCCTACTTTGGAGAATGTTTCTCTTCTTCTTTCGAGATCATTAGTGACAGTTCTCCTCTCACTCTGGTCTAGGTTTTCTGTCTGTGGCAGGCTTCTAATTATATCAAGTTTGGGGTTATAGGTGCGTCCTCAAAAATTTTATCAAAAGTGGAGTTAGCGTTTCTGTTTCTTTTTGTCTGTGTTCTTTTTGACTGATTTTAGAAAGAGAAAAAGGTAGAGGCAACCCTTCTCTCTCATTGTGGAACTATATTCCTGAAATCATAGTTTTTTAATAGAGATCTGGACAGAGGCAGCTTGGTATGATTGGCAGAAAAAACATGGAAATATTAATTAGTAGTCACAGATTCTTGACTCTAAGTAGCCTTGTCACCTTAGGGCAAGTTATTCCCCTCTCTTTGAGTCATCATTTACTCGACTGCAAAATGAGAGGTTGGATTAATGGATCTCTAAGATCTTTTCTAGAAGGAACTCTCTGTGATTCTAGGAGGATGGGGTACTGCTTAGGCATAACATGTATGGGTTAGTAGTTTATTGGTGTTACCTTGGATAATCCTAAACAGCATGTGAGTATTGGATTTTTAGAGGGAAGCGAAAGAATGGAGCACCAAAGACTAATTTTGGAATTTTCTTGTGGGTCAGAAACTGTGAGTATTCCTTGTTATAATAGCCTTCATGTTGAATCCAAGAGTAATCTTTTGTTCATGTATGTGGGTCACATCAGAAAGTAAGCCTTACGAGTGTAACTACACAAACTTAATACTTTTTTTCACCTTTATAGGTGTTATCTGGGGAGAGGAAACTCTGATGGAATATTTGGAGAACCCAAAGAAATATATCCCTGGAACTAAAATGGTCTTTGCTGGTCTTAAAAAGAAGAGTGAGAGAGAAGATCTTATTCAATATTTGAAACGGGCAACATCTTCATGAAATGCTCTTGCAACTTCAAAAATATTAGTTATAAGCCAAATTTTCCTATTTCAAATATTGCATGTTCAAAGAAGTCATATTTGATCTTTCTTATCAGCCTGTAGTAAGTTTAACATTTTAAAATAAAAGTTGATATTTTTGATTATGTGTAATCTACTGATTAAATGCCCTTTAGAGTCTGAACTTACTTTTGTCTGCTCACTAAGGGTGTGCATAAGGTCAGGATGGAGGAGGAGAGGAAAGGAAACTGAAGTCTATTGTGCTTCAGTAGTCTCTATGTATGCAAAATATTCTATAAGCCTACCAACTGCTATTGATGATGGAGATAGTTTCCACATATTTCTCTGTAATTTAAATGTAAATATAGCAGACAGTAGCTTTAGTTTTTATTAAGCTGTGTTTGGTTATGTGTTTGACTTTTATTTTAAACAGCACTTAAAGTAACTTGAAGGAAAAAAATGGAGGGAAAAAAAATGAAGTCAAAGATTTGATCTTACTTTAGGAATATCATTGGAAAAAAAAAAGTGCAAATTGTTGACCGTGGGTGACATAAAACATAGAGAGAAGGAGAAAAGCATGTTCTATGTTAATAAACATTTATGTCACATAACATATAATCTTTTTGCATTAATATTTTTATGATATCCTTTTAATCCTGAGTAATGTAAAGCTGGACTTCAGGGGAGGGATAAGAGGGACCCTGAGAGAGAGGGAGAAAAAACAAAACAACCTTCACTATTAATGTGGAAAGACCTCCCACCTCACAGAAGTGGGAGTGAAGCATGGTGGAGCAGGTCCGCAAGAGGCCCTGGGTGGAAGGGAACAGTGGCTGTGTGTGGTGTGAGGTGGCCCCTGAAGTGGCTATGCAGTCTACAAGTACTCTGTCACCCAAATGCTATGGCCCAATGCAAGAAGGTGAAGCCGATTCCTCACCAAAGAGGTGGGTAATGGACTGGTCAGGGGACGTTATAGGTGAGGATAGGACATTCGTTATCTCATTTCCACTTCACAACAACACCCTGTAAGGTGGATTTTACCTTCTACATTGAGACTTAGAGATATCTGGTGCCAGGACCAAAACTTAAATCTACTCCAATTCCTGGTGACTTTTCACCATATTATAGGGATAATAAGTTAGCTAGTTAATTTATTAGTAGATGCTACTACTGAGAAGACATCCTAACAGAAAATTCCCAAAGTGAGGGGAACATGGTTGACAAAGCTGACTTCCAGAAGGTTCTATTAAGTCAACTAAGTGCCTGGGCTCAATTTTAATGCTTCTGGCAAGTAAGAGAGAATATACTTCTCATGGAGCCCAGTGCCAGTACTGTATAGGAGACTGTGTCCCTGGGAGCCAAGGAGGACTTCAGGCAAAGCTGAGTTTGTTACTGTCTCCTCCCAAGGAGGAATTTGGTGAGGGCAGAGACGGCTGTAGGGACTCCAAGAGTGTATTAGGGATGTTGCCAGTCTCAGAGCTGAGTTGGCTTTGCAAGGATGTAGAATTAGGTGACATACCTCATATCCTAATTTACATGAGACAGAGACCTCTGCGAGAAAGAGCTTGAAGTTAATTCATATGCATAATTACAGTTCAGATTTATACAACCCTGACAGATGGACTTGGTGGCTTTGACAAAAAGCCACATTATAGGGAGGAGCAAGAATGCCTTATGTTTGGAGTTTAAATACTTTTGGCCTAGGAGAAGTAGAAAGAAAATAGAATGAGATGAGCTGAGATGATAAAAGGCAACTGGGTGGAAATGGAGAAATATTAAATAGATTTCTTCCCTTTAAAAAATTGTTCGAGGGGTCAGCCTGGTGGCATAGTGGTTAAGTTCACGCACTCCGCTTTGGTGGCGGCCCGGGGTTCGCAGGTTCGGATTCCGGGCGCGGACCTATGCACCACTCATCAAGCCATGTTGTGGTGGCATCCCATATACAAAATAGAGGAGGTGGGCACAGATGTTAGCTCAGAGCCAGTTAGCTAATCTTCCTCAGGAAAAAAGAAGAGGATTGGCAGTGGATGTTAGCTCAGAGCCAGTTTTCCTTACACACACAAAAAAAATTTGATTAGTGATAAGATGTTGAATGTTGCTCTACATTTATGTTTATCTTAACAAGAGCAAAAGAAATACCTCTTTGCTTCTAGTGAGTTTCTAGTATTAGAAAAAAAAATTTGGAGGAAAATTTGCAAATAAATGCAGTAATTAAAATTCTATATTATGATAGGCTTTATTATTGAATGAATCTATGTTGTCTCTGCAAGGCTTAAATCCATTTTGGGATTAATTTACACGAAAGGACTTCTGGACACTGTGGTAATTTTATCCTGTGCCAATTTAGCTAAGCTGAACTGTGTTTGCCAGAATTCTCTTTTCTGTATGGCTCCTGGCTCTGTAGGGCTGGTCACATGAGAAGTCTGCCTGAGATTTGGGAAGCATTGGATTTGGGAAGATTAGGCAGAAGCCTTTACATTTGTAAGGTCAGTACAGGGCCCCAGGTGCAACTCATACTTAGTGTCACGAATCTGTTGACAGCAGCCTTTGTGCCATAGGGCAGCAGCCAGGCACTCAGCTCCTCCAACTGCTACCAGATCTCTTTCAGTTTTTGAGTCCTGGGTCAGGGGTATGTGCAGCTTTGAGGGGGAAGGGCCTACCATCTTTAGGTCATCCATGTAATCAAAGTTTGAAGTGGTGAGAAACAGACTACACGGGTACGAGTTTGTCCTCATGGGTTTGTCCCAGCTCTTCTTCCCAACTTTAGGCCCATCGCCAGATGCAGAGCCAACAACCCTCCCGAGTCTTTACCAGCTCCCCTTTGTGTCTTAGCAACTTTGCTCTGATCCTTCAGCTGTCCCCTTCTGGGACATTATTTGTTTCCTCAGCTTTTCCCCAAATTGTATAAGGTCTAGTTCCTATTATAACTCCCTAGTTCACATCCTTCTTAGTGGTCCTGCATCCCTCGTCAAACCCTCCCCGATACAGGCACCATATCTGTGCAACACACCTCCTTGTGAATAACAGGAACCTCTAGGGGAGTTACTCTCTGAGTGCTCTTCAACCTAAATTTGGTGTACCTTAACAGATCAAAGGAAAGAATAATTCACTTTACAACAATCTGAAGTTGTCAAGTTATTGAAGTCTGCCAATGTCTCCTAAAGTTGAATTAAAGATTCAGTAGAAAAAAGATTCATGTTAATAAGAGAACAGATTCCTATGATTCTGAAATCAAGAAAATGTAAGTATTCTTGTTCTATGGCACCATTAACAGGAAGCAAGAGACTTCAGTGACCAGGAAATATTGTGCTGATTGCATATCCACAAAAAGATATTTGAAAAGTATTGCAGACAGTTGGGTGATTACATAAGATGTCCATTTATTGCTTTAGCATAAGCAATTCTAATATACATTTTGATAAGGATCTGGAAGAATAAAGTGTTGTTTCATTTAATTAAAGTAAAAATGTGAGATCAGTTAACTTGGCAATAATTCGTGTGTTTCAAGAGGAACAGAGAGAACTCTTCAGAAAGCAGTGGAACATTGTTAGTTCTGCGTTCTTAAAATTTTCTACACTAGCCAGTGAAGTGCTTCCCAGATATAAACCTCTAGTCAGTGGTTCTTGTGGGAAACAACATACCGTTTATTTTTTTAGGAAGAGTAATTTTTTGGATTGAACCCTTGTGTCCTACAAGATGTATATAATACAGCAAGATTTTGAGAGTATTTTGTTGGCTTATTCTCCCTCATCGCCACTTTCTTTTAAAATATTAACATGGGTAGGAATTTAGAATCAAATTTTCTTCTCTGTGTTTTTCACTGAGTGATCATCATCATCAACTTGTGAGTTCGAAATCACAATTTCATGCAGTCCTTCAGCTTAAAATTCCCCACAAAGTGGGGCCTCATTTAAGCACAGAATACTATGGTGGTAGAGCAGGTGGGAGGGGGAGCCACCACAGGGGTGGAGTGTTGCATGAGGGCACAAGAGCTAACGGCAGGCACTAAGAAGGCAGAGGGAGGGGTGCAGAAAGGGGAAATATTTCCTCATCTATAAAGCATGCTGGGCTGGGCCAGATCGCTCATTTTCAAATATATTTTATTTGCAGAACTATTGGTTTAAATGCAAGCCTTCTCCAAAGAAAACTCAGCCTTGGACACAGAACCACTCTGATTGAGGAAGGGTGAGACACCCTCCCTACTTCCCCACATTCTTCCTCCCTACCTCCTGTGAGTAAGACTACTTTTGAATAAAGGATATAGAAGCTAGAAAATGTATGAAAACTGATGGTCCCCATACTCTCATTTACAGTTGAGAAAACTGAAGTCCAGAGACTTTTCCAAAATCAGACACTTAGTGTTAGTCCTCAAAACTGGGACTAGAACCTGGGTCCTCATTCCCCAATATCTGATTTTCTTACTTTTTATGTGGGGTTCTGGCTAGATCCATATACTTTTAATTACTGTTGTCCATCCACCTACTTCTTCACATTTAACTTTCCTTTATAAAAACTGCAACAATGCTATGGAATCAAAATCTTTTTAATAAAATCTTTCTGTATTAATCCTTCTAAGAAGTTTATTTCTGGTTCATTTTCCTTTTTTGGTATGGTGTTTGGAATAGTATGTGAAAATCATCACTATGTAAATGCTGTTTGATAATGAAAATAAGGGAGATAATCTTAAACCACTGTGTGCCCATCTCTACTACAATAAGAATGTGGTCTGCTACAGTGGAAGGTCATTAATTAATTAGTTTAATATTTATTGTGCATTGTGGCAGCTGGTGTCCAAAGATGGCCCTCAATAAACCAGCTTGCAGGTATTCATGCCTTTGTGTAGTCCCCTCCCACGTGGAATCTGGGTTGACCTTGATTCACTTTAATAATAGAATGTGGTAGAAGTGATGCTATACCAGTTCTGGTCCTAAGCCTTAAGAAGGCCTGACAGCTTCCACTTTTGCAGTTATGGAAGACCTAAGTCACCATGTAAGAAGTTCGGCAATCTCGCTAGAGAGACCACATGGAGAAAGCTTATGGAGAGTGAGAGGGCCTGAGACTTTAGAGGAAGAGAGAGAGAGAAGAAGAGGGAGAGGGAGAAGGAGAAGGAGAGAGATTGATTAATTTAGCGGGGAGAGGGAGAGTG